GAGAGAGAGAGAGAGAGAGAGAGAGAAGGAGAGAGAGAGAGAGTTGGCAAGTCACCCTCTAGGACTGGTTGGTTATCACCCAATGGTAAGTGCTTTCAACCTACCACCACTACCACTACTACCACCATCACCACTACTACCACTACTCCCACCACTACCACTATTTCTACCACCACTACCACCACCACCACCACAACATTTCACCATCAGGTCAGATTCCCCAAGGTCACGTCAGGTCAGGGACACGTAATGTCTGGGAGCTATAATAGAAACCTAACCGCAGGAGGGTGAGAAGGGGAGGGTGAGGGGGGAGGAGAGGAGGGGGAAAATGGTATTATTTTCAGCTAATCAATCTCTCTGTAATTTACCGAGGAGGGCTAGACATAATGACGTTTTAATGACGTCATGGAGGGATTACGAACCTAAAAATAAAATATAATTCCATAATTACGTTGCTAAAAATATAATTCCTAGGCTTGAATTATTATTATTATAGGGATGGTAATGATAATCTGAATAATAATAATAATAATAATAATAATATAATAATAATAATAATAATAATAATAATAATATAATAATAATAATAACAATAACAATAATAATAAAATAATAATAATAATAATAATAATAACAACTATTTCCTCCAACCACCACCATAGACCTAGAGCCAATAGGCCTACAAGAGTGAGAACAACTTCTACCGAGTACATTACCGGGAGATGATCTGATACAGGTGAGAGGGGGGGTAGTTCTGTTCCTTACCTGTAAAGATAAGAGGTAATTGGTTAGGTTTACCTGTATGGGAGAGAGAGAGAGAGAGAGAATCAGATACATGGATAAACAGACAGACAGACAGACAGATAGACATACATTACAACAACCATTAAATCACAACCAAATAACAACCAAATCACAACCAAACTACCACCACCACCACCACCACCACCACCACCACCACCACCACCATCATTAGCAACTTTTTCATATTATTTAAACAATTCACAAAAAGTATCGTTCACATCCCGTCTTAGTCATCGTTAATTTAAGATAATTGTAAATAAATAAAAAAAATTGGGCGTTAATTAAAACCACAGTGTACATATATGGCCAATCCCGAACGCAGAAGCAACACAACACTGATGATTGGTCATTAGGGGGTGACGTCATAGATGGAGGTCACAAGAGCGCCTTTGACTGGTTACTAAGGGGGATGACGTCATGTTTGGATATTACAGAACGTCATTGATAGGCCGTTATGGGGATAACGTCATAGAAGGGGTTAACATGAGAGGCATTGATTGATTATCAAGACGGATGACGTCATACTTGGAAACATCTGATAGCCAATGGCATGCTATCAGGGGTATTTGACGTCATATTTGGAACAAACCCAACCAATAACAGGTAATAACGGCTATGACATCATATATGGAAACAGCAGACCACCACTGATTGGTCACAGGGGAAATGACGTCAAACACAACCACAACAGACAGCACCTTGAGTGGTCATTTAGGGGTATGACGTCACCGTACAAGGTCATAACGTCACCAAGGACTCTGTTTTCACCTCGTCACGGGAGTGTGTGTGGTCACGCCTATGTCTGTCGGCCATTTTGTAACCTGTGAGAGAGAGAGTGTTGCCATCTGGGTGGGTCGGTAGAACTCGACTCTTTCAGTGACTCATTCAGGAAATATGAACCCTGGCATCACGAACCCACATATGGTACAGAGTGAACCCCAGGGAGCCAGATGTGAGGCTGTTTACCGAAGACAAGGGTTCGAATCCTCTATATATGGGTTCGAATCCTTATATAGGGCTGAATCATATATAGGGCTTCGAATCCTCTATATAGGGGTTCAAATCATATATAGCTGAATCTAGGTTCGAATCATATATAGGGCTGATCAACATAGGGCTTCGAATCACTATATGGCTTCAAATCCTATATAGGGCTGAATCATTATATAGGGCTTCGAATCCTGTATATAGAATCATATAGAATCATATAGGGCTTCGGATCATAGACTTCGAATCATTATAGGGCTTCGAATCATTATATAGGGCTTCAGATCCTGTATATATGGGTTCAAATCCAATATATGGGTTCGAATCTGTATATAGGGCTTCGAATCCTCATATAGGATTCGAACCACAACCACAACCCCCCAAACAACCACCCCGCAACAACCACAATCCTTACAGCAGGAATTAATATATTAACTATAAACATTAAAACACGCGCCGAACACAAACACCGTAGCACCAATAAACATAAGGTCGACTTTCTTATGCAATTTAGGGTGATTTTCGATCTTATTGTTGAGTTGTAGGGAGAGACGAATGTTGGGTGGTGGGTGGTGGACTGTGGTGGTGGTTGGTTTTGGTTGTGATTTGGTTGTGGATGTTGTAATAATATGATGATAATGGTAGTAATAATAATAATAATAATAATAATTCTTTGTTTCACCTAACAACCTAATTACCAAGATATGACACACACACACACACCAACCTCCAACAACCACACAACTACCTCCAACAAACCACAACCACACCTCCAACAACCACAACTACCTCCAACAACCACAACTAACTACTCCTCCAACAACCACAACTACCCCCCTCCAACAACCACAACCATCTCCAACAACCACAACTACCCCCTCCAACAACCACAACCACCCTCCAACAACCACAACTACCCTCCAACAACCACAACTACCCTCCAACAACCACAACTACCCCAACAACCACAACTACCCTCCAACAACCACAACTACCCTCCAACAACCACAACTACCCTCTCACAAACCCCTA